TGGAGTCTCACTCTGTCGCCCAAGCTGGAGTGAAATGGTGTGATCTCAGCTCACTGCAACCTCCACCTGCTGGGTTCAAGTGGGTCTCCTGTCTCAGCCTCCCAAGTAGCTGGGATTACAGGCATGTGCCACCACACCCAGCTAATTTTTTTGTATTTTACCATGTTGTTGAGGCTGGTCTCGAACTCCTGACCTCAGGTGATTTGCCCACCTCAGCCTCCCAAAGTGCTGGGATTATAGGGGTGAGCCACTGCGCCCTGCCAGGATTTTTTTTTTTTTTAAGACAGTCTTGCTCTGTTACCCAGGCTGGAGTGTAGTGGGAGGATATCGGCTCACTGCAACTTCTGCTCCGCCTCCTGGGTTCAAGCAGTTCTCTGACTCAGCCTCTCGAGTAGCTAGGATTACAGGCACCCACAACCACACCCAGCTAATTTTTATATTTTTAGTAGGGACAGCGTTTCACCATCTTGGCCAGGCTGGTCTTGAGCTCTTCGACCTCCAACTACCTCGGCCTCTTAAACTGTTGGGATTGCAGGCATAAGCCACCGTGCCCAGCCCAGGATTATGTTTTAACCTTGGATGTGTAGTGTGTGAAGGGTGAGGTGAGGGTTTGGAAGGGAGGCGCCTCAGCTCTGGACAGGGAGAAAGTTGAGCTGCTAGTGTCGTAGGTGTGAATGATGCCACCGTAATTCTGGGAGTATTGAAAACTAGTTCATGCTTCCGAATTCTGCAGAAAAGCAATTAGAGATCTGGGAGAGAATGGTATTGAAAAGAGCTAAGCAGGTCTCCTTCCTGGCTTGCTACTGCTCCTCTTTTCTGGGGAACAGGAGTATAAAGACTGGGAGTTTGTTGGGATGGGGAATTAATTTGCTATCTGAATAGCTAATGGACAGAAGCTAAAGCACGAGGGCGTGGAATGGGAAGTTGCTATTGAGAACGAGGAATCCTTTGTTTTTCCTCATGGCCTTAACCAAGGGGTAAATAAGTCGGATGCTTATTTGAGAATAGTCACGTGAAAAATAGATCGCTATGATGTAAGTGGATCATGAAGTCGCTAGTGCATGTACTTTTTGAATTTTAGGTTAGTCGCTTTTTCATATACTTTCACAACATTTCGAAAGATTTTACATTAATATAAAAGTCATTAGAATCTCTGATAACATTGGCGCATTAATCTGGATTAAGTAATATATAACTGATTATAATTTTAAAATATTAACTATTTTGAAATAATTTTAGACTTACAGAAAGTAAGTTGCAAAGATAGTACAAAGTTCCAGTGTACCTCACTCTGCTTCCTCAGTGTTAGTCTTCCCTAACCAGGTGTATTTATCAAACCTAGGAAATGAACATTGACGCGATACTAAACTATGGGTTTTATTTGTATTTCCCCGGCTTTTCTCGTGAATGTCTTTTTTTCTGTTCAGTGTTCAGTCCAGGCTCTCACTTGCATTTAGTTGTCTCTCTAGTCCCCTGACCTGTGACAGTTCCTCATCAGTCTTTCCCCTTTTTCATGACCTTGACAATTTTGAAGAGTACTGGTTTGTCTGACGCTTGCAATGATGAGACTGAGGTTGTAGGTAGAATACCGTAGAGTTGATGTCCTTGTTTTATAACATCGTATCAAACAGGAGGTACTTACTGGTATATCTTAATTTTGATGATGTTAATCTTATCTCTTGGTTAAGGTAATGTATGCCAAGTTCCTTTGCTCTGAAATGACTGTTTTTCACTTCTCAAACCCTCATTAGAAGTGAGTCTACTAAAAATCTAGCCCTCATGCAAGGCAAAGGGACACTACGTTCCTCATACCAGAGGGAGAAGCATGGAAAAATTTGTGGACATGTTGGAAAATCATGGTAATTAGGAAATACGTTGAAAGCACTGTGGTAATTAAGGAATATTTTGGGGAGATACTTTGAGGCTGTGGAAATAGCCTTTTTTCCTTGAAAGTTTTGTCCAATAATTTTCGCATTCATCCTTGGATCTTGTCTGGAGTAGTACTTACTGCGGCTCTTCTCTCCTCACCTCCCCTCCTCCTTTCTTCCTCTCCTCTCTTTTCTCTTCTCCTTGAGACAAGGGGTCTTGCCTTGTCACTCAGGCTGGAGTGCAGTGGTACAATCATGGCTCACTAACCTTTAACTCTTGGGCTCATGTGATCCTCCTGCCCTGGCCTCCCAAAATGCTGGGATTAGAGCCATGAGCCGCTGCACCTGGCCAATTACTGTGGTTTTCTTTCTTTTTTTTTTTTTTTTTTT